CATGTCTACCGTGCATTATGTGTCTCAGTCCAACCAAAAGGCACTTACACTTGTATAGATGTAGATAATGCAGCACAAGTGCAGATTATTTGTAATGAACATCGTCACATTCAGCTCACTCTGGTGGTTTTCACTCAATGCTTTTGAAGTGGTGTTTCTGTAAAAAAACAGAAAAAGAACAAATAAAAGAGCTCAGGGTTTAGCGGCGTAGTTATTTAACCACCGAGAGCGTATCATGTTTTCAAAAGATTTTTGCAATTCATGTTTCACATTTCACACCTTCCCCCTCCCCCCACAGACCTCAAGACAATGAGCGAGCGTCTGAAGAGCAGGTACTACACAACGCGCAAGCTGTTCATGGCAGACATGCAGCGCATCTTCACCAACTGTCGCGAGTACAACCCTCCGGAGAGCGAGTACTACAAGTGCGCCAACTTACTGGAGAAGTTCTTCTACACTAAGATCAAAGAAGCAGGCCTCATCGAGAAGTAGACGAGAGGAAGAGGTTTCTTTTAAGACAGTCCTGGGAGTATGAAAGGTTAGGTGATGCAAAAAGCCAAGATTAGGACTACTGATTCTGGAGCGGATAGGTTTCTTAATGTAAAAGGTGCAAACGGGTCCCAGATCGGCGCTCTGATAACGGCCCAGATCCTAAATCAGTAGCTTAGACTGATATTCACCTTGAAAGACAGGCCACGAGGGAAGGCCTCACTGAAGAAGTGTGAGGCTGTTGCTCATTTCAAACAAAAGAAGCGTTGTGTCTTTATATTTCATCACGTGTCCCAGAGGCCCACGGAGAGAAAGGACAGCAGCAGGTGTAACAGTAATACAGATTAAACAGGGCAGAAAGGTTTCGTTGTCGTTTGTGTGTTTTCGACGCTGAATGGAATCCCAGAATGACAGCTGATTGGAGCTTTACCACCCGTCTGTCTGTGTCTCCCCGTCTCTTTTCTTTTCATTTTGCCTTTTCAGTGTCTGCCTTCTCCTCTCAGCTGACTCAGGTAGCGATGTCACGAGACGTAACCACATGTGCAGTGGGTTTAGTCATAACAAAAGTGTTAGCGGCGAGGAAAGCGACCGAGAGTTCAAGTTTTCCTTTCTGTGTTCATGTGAGCATGTACAGAGTTAATGAGGTCAAAGTCTGTGATGAGTTCATCCTGCCAAAAGTGGAATACATACTTTAACTTTGTACAGATTTTAATTATTTTAAAGCACTTATATCCATTGTATATTTTAAATATGTATATAACATATATTTTCTTTTTCAGAACTAAAAAAAGTAATCTTTTTTTTTTTTTTCACCAAGCCACGTAGGGCAGTTTGACTATCAAAAATGCACTTTTATTTTTCCAAGTATTAGTTAACATAAATGAGAGGATCTTCTTTTCTTCAGAATTTGTTTTACATATAAATTACATTGTTGACTAAGGACTAATTTAATTATCTAGAGTTTATTCTTATTTATGTGCTGTAATTTAGAAGAATTATGCATAAGACAAGGTCTTAATTTATTATTTCTTATTTTTGTCCCGCAGATGGAGATTGATAACTTTATACTTTGGAGATAAACGAAAAGATTGTGCAATACTATGTAGTTTTGCTGTTTTGTAAAAAGGTGTTTGTACTTTTCAAACTTTAGGGAAAAAAGTACCTTTTGTAATATGTCTGGAAAAGTATTTCATGCTCTTTGTACAATTGGTTTTAATGACATAGTATTAGCCTATTTTATAGACTGATTAAAACAGAAGTGAGGCTAATTCTGTGTCTGTTTTTTTTTTTTAACTCAAGAATATAAATAAGTTCCCAGCCTTCGCCCAATACAGTATGAAGAGTTCATTTACAAAAACAGATAACTCCATCTTCACAAACCTTCAGAAAACCCACTTTTCCATCGTCTAGCTGAGACAATATCAATCAAACTCAAGTTATCTCTGTTTTTGTCATGTCATTTCTACTGAGTCAAATCCACTCAACTTCAGATTAATTAATAGTATCGCAAGCAAACGACAAAAAAAAAAAACGTTTTCTAAAAAAATCTACAAAAATGGGAGTTATCTGTTCTTGCAAATTAACTCTTCATACATAAACCAATACACTTTTTGTGAAATTCAGCAAATACCTCCTCATGGTTTGGTGGTTCATCCACTCTGTGTATGCCTTAAAAAAAATCTGTGGTTGTACACAGTCCTGGCTCTGTAAATGGGAAACAAAAGTGATCTACTCAACAGCATTCTAGTGTCCTGCAGGCTGGAACAGAGAAGCTAAATATGCTAATTAACTAAATGTCAACAATGTTTCACCAGAATCACACAAGTTGAAATCAAATAATGATTTTTTTAAAGTAATTTTTTTGACCTTTATTATATAGGACAGTCAAGAGAGAGACAAGAAAGTGGGGAAGAAGTATGGGGATTCGAACCCATGGCCGCTGCTTCGGGGACTGTAGCCCCTGTACATGGGTCATCAGCTCAACCAGTTGAGCTATAGTGGCGGCCCAAAATCTGATAATTTAAACTTCTGTAAAGCAGCAGAGTAAATGAAGGAAAATTTATTGTCACATCATACAGCAGAATATACAATTAAATCAAGATAAAAATCAGAATGCATTAAGTGACAATATGTACTCATATTCAGAATTGAAGTAAGATGATTAAAACTGCAAAAACTGCTCATCCTCAGGAAATAGTCAATACTACATTGGCCTACGGACAAAGAGAAGAAATGAAAGAAGACTACAACTTCACAAAATATGCACAAAACAAACTCACATAAAAAAACATTGTTAAACTGATCACAGTCGGTCTTCACACAGATACAAACCTGAGTGTGAGAAAAATATTCACTTGTCAAGCTCTAAAAAAACATCTGTGTTATACACTGGCATTGCCAGCCAACACTGAGAGTTCGGAGAGGGCAAATAAGGTAGCTGCTTTCAGCGACATCCAACAAAGGATTCATTATACTTCTCAAATGGCTGCTGGCTGCTCATGGAATTCCTTGATTTCTGCACAGACCTCCTTCCAGACTTCTGCTTGAAAATAGGAGAGCGGAGGAACTGCAAGTCTGTGAACTTGTCTCCTCGCCGAAGTTTCCTGCGAAGGTTTGATTAGAATTGTTGAGCATTCAGAGTAAAAATCAGTGAACCATTTAGAGTAGCCCCTCTCACACAGAGATCGTGTTGTATTACCGCTACCATGACCCCTAATTTATGCCGCTGTTGCTCGCCTTTATTTGTTCAGGCTGGACTAAAAAAAGCTGGCGAATGCAGCTCCAGTGTGTGATTACATGTAGCCTGCCAGCAATCAGGAATCAGAGGCGTGAAGTGTAACACAACAGCATCAGTGTCTAGTGTGATGTAAAGGCGCAACACTGATGCCCTCGCCACATTTCGTCTCTATACCTTACACATAGAACAACAAAGTGCAATAAAGATGTGACAGTCTACTCCTGAACAACAGGTTGTGTGAAAGGGGCTAATCAGGGCCGCACTAACTATGTAAACGTACGCGTTTAGTGAAGGCTCTTTATAGTCGACCGTCATGGTGCAGCGCCGCTTGCGAGCAGGAACAGGGGTGGAGCATCGGGCGTCAGAAGGGCGCGAGCCACCACAGGAGAACTTGCGATAGGCTGCAGGGGACAGATTGGTCACATCACACAGACTCAAGCCCCGCCCCGCTGTCCTGACACCAAGCCCACCTGTTGAAACGTGAAGGAAGATGTGATCCACAAGAAAGAACAAAAGACAAACAGGAGTTGTGTGTATTCATGTGTGTACACCAGTGAACAGAGTGCAGGAAAATCAATGCACAGAGAGAAGACCATAGAATGAAAACGTGATCTGGTGAACCCATGTGCTTAGTGATACTGTCACAGTGATCGTGACATTCAATTCTGACATCAAATAACGTCTTACGTTTCTTGCATGATTTGAGCCGCTGCGGTGTTTGGTGGGGTAAAAGAGCTGGACCTTCACAGGAAGAATCTCCAAAATTAGACAGGACGTTGTCTATTCTCATCATCTCAGCTTCAACCAGAGGGCTGACAGGAAGCAAACAGTCCTCCTCCGTCATCTGCTCACGAGGCTCTAAAAAACAAACACATAAAACCATCGTGAACTCATCATAGGTCCTATAAAACATCCGAACGTGAGGGGTTTAATATCTTTCATGTGTGAAAATGGTTTCATAACATGTAAATATGTTAAATAATTCAGACCAAAATTCACTCTTTGGTTGTTGTTCTACCAACAGACTCTATATTAACATTAAAATGCAACAGCCCTAAGTAAGACAAGCACTTTGTTTTATTACCTCTTTTTATGCCAAATCATTTTTAGAATAACGGTTAGTGATTAACGTGTCGTGAGAAACGTTAATCTGTTTGAAATTTATATCCCATCCTAACAGGTGCATTTATCTCATGCTCAGGGAGGGACAGTGTGTCATAGATAATAGTATATAAAAGCAATGGACCAAGTTGTTAATAAAGGACAATTTGTTGCCTTTTATGAAGCTGCTTATTAGTAGTGCTGCTTAAATACTGTGAAATACGGCAGCTTCATCTTTTCTTAACGGTCTTTTTTTGTAGCTTTGGAACCTGAGCGCGATATAACCGGCACAAAGGAGAAAGATTAAACATGTACTACTCACCTTGGTGAATTTCCTGTTCCAGCCTTACAGGGTCGGGGCTGTTAGAGAAGCTAGAATCAGCTGAGTGCCGGCGATGACCTTCATCCTGTTTAGTCTCTGCAGCCTTGGGGCTTGACTCTTCATCTCTAAAGACTAGAAAGCACAAAAGAGAAACCGTTTAATTGTAAGCATTAAAACAATAGAGAGAATAACAACTATATAACTATGAAACCTAAGTTGAGAATGGTAAATCTAAATACTCACCAGAGATCTCCTGCTTCGGAGGGACGTTTTCTTTCTGTCTGACTACTTTAGAGGGCCGACCTCTACGAGTGATGATCACTTTGGTCTTGTCAGGAGAAGTCTGTCTCCTTCTGGTCTTTTGAGGGACATAAAGGCTGTCCTCTGATTCAGAGGAGGGTGAAGATGAACTACATTCCTCCTGTCTGGAAACCACAGGGGAAGGTTCAGTCTGGGTTTTCTCTTTTTGTGGACTCTCTTCATTAATGGGCGTGGCTGGCTGATTGTCGTCTGCCTTGGCTCTAAATGGTGTGACGTGTACTGTCTCTTCACAGTCAAAGTCAAATGTGTCATTAAATCCCACAGAGGTATTGAGCTTATTGCTCTGTGGCGGAGGTGCTGTTTTGGCCCGTGTGGCTGACCGGTCCCGACTCTTGGAGCGGGCTCTGGGTTTGGGATTGTCCCATGGTTTCTTTAATGGAGCCCGGTCTGGTTTGCGTCCTCTCTCGGATTTCCGTGAAGCTGGTTCTGGTTTGGAGCGGGTCTGCTGCTGGGTTTGTTTCCTGCTGGGTTGCGGCCGGCTCTTTTTGGGCGGGACAGGCTCAGGAGTGGAGTGTTGTAACTCCTCTGTGTCACCAAGGTCTGCTCTCTCTGGTTCTGCCCCTTGTTGTGTTTGATTCAGATTTCTGTCGTCACTGCATATTGGACTTGAAGTTAAAGCCCCAAACTCAGCGACTGGGTCTCCCTCACTCAAAAACCTCTGTTCTCGCACACGCTCTGACCTCCTCCTGCTTTTTCTGTCTGTGCGTTGACGCCTCACACCCACTGTAGACGGCAAGGTAACCACTCTGTCACATTGAAGCTGTCCATTGTTTTTAGAGGGCTGAGAATCTATGACGAAAAAGACAAAAATCAACATGAAAAATTAGACTGGCTGGGGCGCCACTATAGCTCACCTGGTTGAGCTGGCGTCCCATGTACAGGGCTACAGTCCCGATGTGGAGGTCATGAGTTCGAATCCCGCTCATGACCCTTTCCCACACGTCCTTCCCCCGTTCTTCTCCCCCACTTTCTCTCTCTCTCTCTCTCACTATCACTATCGAATAAAGGCACAAAGGCCAAAAAAATAACTTAAATTTTTTTTTTACAATGGCTCAGGATTAAGATAAATGCAAACGTTTATAAAAAATACAGAAAACTGCATCCAACTGCTGTCCTATAATAATCTGAAGATTTGAGGAGCAGGTTAAAGTCTGATGAATGAAAATATGTGAAAATAGCTAGAATAGCTTTTATTCCTGTGTACACAACAACAACTCATTATCTGTAAAGAATACCAATCAACTGCTTTTTAAACTACCAACCAAAACATGTATTATTACTTTTTTGGGGTTTAACTTGGATCAGCAATGTTAGCTTTATTCAGGAAAACCTTTAGCTGATTGGAAGTGTGAACATGTTATATTTACATTACAAATACCTAGAAAATCATAACTCCACATCAGTGACAAAAAATACTCAGGCAATAATATGTTAATGATTATAGTTGATATCTAACACTGACCAGGAAAATCTAAGTTTGTGTATTTATACCTGCACAAATTGGCGAGGCTTCACACAAGAAGTGCTCATCAAGTTTCTGGCTCGTCCGCTTTCTTCTAGAAATTATGGGGAGAAAATAAACAAATTGTAATAACTCATGATAAAGGATTTGACAAAATTTTATGTGACAGATTTATAATGTAAAAACTCACTTTGCTGAGTCCACATTGTGTTGGGGTTCAACAAGGACATTTGTAGGTTTGGTCTAAGACAGAAAACAAAGACAGAAAACATTTTTCCATAAGAACGACACGCAGTATTTCACAGTACTTTACTTGGTTCACTGATTTATCAGGATAACTTTGAGAGAGCGTACCTCTGAAGCACTTGCTGCCAGAGCTTCCTGCTCTTTCAGCTTCCTCTTGAGCAGAAGCAGGTGAAGGAACAGAGCCTGTTGCTCCCTTTTCAGCTGCAGAATCACTGCATTAGACTGCCTCACTTTCTCCTTCTCAGCTTGCAGCGCCACAGCCAGCGCCTTGTTGTTTAGCTGGACACCCTTAAGTATGGTGTGCGTGGAGTTAGCCACTGGGAGAAAACATAGGAATGATATCATTTGTCTGAAGACAAAATCCATCTACATACCAGCATCCCCTGAACTCCTGCATCTGTCTATGTCATAATTTGCCAATTACCAGTGGACCCTAAATGTGTATCATCAATACAGTACATTTTGATTTAAAGGGAACATAGTGTGCATATTTTAACTCATGTGTATGCTGAGTTTGTCAGACAAGTTGTTAAATCTGTAGTTAGGGACACAGGAGGGATGGAATTTGGTCTGTAATCTTACTGAGCTGCATTAGAATGCCCATTTCATTCGCAACAACAGAAACAAGAAAACATGTTATTGAGAACAGCTTTACTGAGAATTCATCTGAATGAAAAGGCCCTACATGTGGGCAAAAAGAAAACAGGAGACAGCTAAAGGTATCGTTAGCCACATTAGCTGCAACTCTAAGGATTATCCTATTGTTGTGGTGGCATTGTCATAAAAAAAGAAATCAGTAATCCTCCCAGTTTTCAGTTCCTCGGATGCTGAGAGTGCATGTATCCTCTTGTGTTCACTCTTGCAGCCAATAGCAGGGCAGCTGATGTACTTTGCTCATGGCTGAGATATTTCAGAGTTAGCAGAAGCTGACTATAAACAATGCTGTTGGACTGCTAGGTAGATGCTCTTTCTGAATTGCTCACCAGGAAGCAGCAGGCAGTGAGGTGGCAGCATTACACAGAATCTGAGCTAGAATACTGTTGGTTTGTTGTGGTAGTACGGAGCAGTTCAGTAAAATTTTCACTGGCTTGCAAAGCTGGGAAGCTTTAGTTGTGGAGGTGGGGCTTGAAGAAGGCAGAAGTAAAGGTCTATAACATATACACAGAGTGAACAACATGTAACAACCACAAAACACTATTCAAAAAATAGATTTTTACCACATGAGACTTTTAACTAACAATAATTTATAATTTCCTCACCACTGCTTTTGCTGATCATCCTGGATCTGCCCCTGCTGGGAGCTGAAGCGCTGGCCAGCCGTTTGTTCCTCTTCTCCTTCATCCTCTCCTTGATGTCCTCCAGACTCTGCTGGAAGGACTTCTTCTGGGCCCGTTCTTTCACCATTGTTCAGGATCTATGATTCTGTCAAAGTGTAGAAGGTTATTCAGGACCTTACCGGCGCAGCTTGATGATACATCTCAGCAAAACATGTTACGAAGCCTGAGTGCTAGCTAACAAGCTAGGTTAGCAAGCTAGTAGACGTTAACGTTTGTCAGCGCATTAGGCTATTTTCAGTAACTGCAGTCCGGCGTTGTATTTGTAAACAACGTTGAAATGAAACCTACCGGAAGACGTATATCACCAGGTTATTTGGTCTGTATATTTTCCCTTGAGCAAAACGCGTTTGTAGCTTATGTTAGGCAGAAAAATAATCCATTTTCTCTCCACTGCTCCGTCCTGCGACAGTTGACGTTCGAATTGAGAGCCGCGGCCGCTGATTGGTGGAAATCTGAGCGACGTCAGTTCCTGAAAGTGACGCGATTGGTCGCTAGATGGCGCTAAAGCTCAACAGAAAATTAACCACGTTTGGCTGCCGAGGACGAGTGATGTATTTGGTATTCATTATTCGTCTGCATATTCCGATCCTTTGAGACTAAACAGCAGAGTACCACACAGCACTACAATTATCTAATTATAATTCTTGGCGTTTCAATCAGTCCCTTTTCACCCTTCTCCTGTCTGTCTATTGGAAACAAACAAAGCAAAGTGGAGCCCCTGCACCATGTGCACCGCTGGGGAATAGAGGCATAGTAAACTTCTTTTAAAAAGTAAATTAGATTACAACTCACCAAGGGTCAGGCTTATTCACTACCTCCAGAATGAGTATTCATAATTGACTGCTGGAGATAAGAGCTTGAGCAGGCCTCTGTAAAGTGCTTTGATGCATGTGGATGGAGCTGATAATTAATCTCAAAACCTTCTGACAGGCAGTGTTTGAGTCATATTCCTCGAGGTTTTTCTGAAACTCTTATGGCTGACTCAAGCCAAGACTGCACAGAAGCTCTAAAAGCCAGCCAATTAATAGATGAATGCAAATTTTAAATTGGGCTAGTAAGTCTTTTGACACTCTGTTCCTGTGTCCAGACTAATATCATCTTGCGTTGTTCCTGTTTAAACACACATTCCCTCATGCACACTCACACAACTGTCTTTCTTCTGCCACCCTGAGTCCGTAAGTACCCATTACTACCCCTCTCAGGTTTCGCTCGATAAATGTTCCGTAAATATTGGATTGCTTGGTATTACATAACTATTCATGACCTCATTTAGTTTCCCAAGTCAAAGTCAAACAGGGCATGTCATGCTTGGCAGGGCACAGGGAAGAAACTTGTACCTTTCATACATTTCGCTGCAGCTAATAACATCCATTTGGACCTTCTGTCAGTGATGATCCAGGAAAGTGTGCGCAGTAACCAAATAAATGGCATACTGGGGCTACAGAAGGGGTTTGGGAAAGTTTGGGTGCCTCAGCATTTGCTTTTGAGCAGGACCCACCCTGGAGTAAAGCCAATGAACAGTTCTTGATTTAGCTCGATTTTCTCACAAATGTTTGGTCCTTTGCGGTTGAATTATTTCCACACTCTTTGCATGAGGATATGTAGCAATTAACCTTTATACAAAACAAAATGAATGACATTTTTTATTACAGATGAAAATCCAACCTAAACCCTCCCTAACTCAAGTGTAATAGCAGGCATGCCTTCTTATTGTGGGTTTGGGGATTGAGTAAGTGTAGGTATGAGTGTTCTGTTTCAAAATGAGCCATATAGACCTGTAATGACTCACTGTTTTAACAATAACATCACTTCTGTTGATGTAAAAGGTGTATTATTCTTGCTGAAAGCAAGCAAATGTTACAGCTGTTCCCGCACAGCAGGGAAATACTGACTGGTGCTTTTTGTGTGTGTTTTTTGTGAGTCTGTCTGTATTAAAGAGCAAAAGGAAAGGACAGAGAAGTGGGGGAGAGAAACATATAAAGTCAGACAGATAGACAGCCAGAGGGACTCCACAGGTTTTAGCTCAGCTTGTTTTAATGGACAAATCCATCACACAGTCATTTCGTGTCACCCCTTACTATCCACATGTCAGCTGCCTGGAGAGAAACTTATTGTTACAGGTGCTGAAAAGTATAGGAGAAATGGATTAAAATGAAAATATAGTGAGTGTTGTGGCAGCCTGAAAAATGGGGAGCATGTTACAGATAAAAAGACAAGATGACTTTAAACATCAGCACATACTGCATGAATACTTTGCCTTTTTTGGTAGAACAGTAGCGAGTACAAGTCTGTTTACCGACTGATATCATTATTATTAAAAGATTATAAATTCATCTCGGTCCAGTCAGATCTCTCACTCACACATCCCTGTCCAGACAGCCTGACTGGCCAATGAACTGATCATCTGCTTTTCTACCAGATGAAAAGTATTAACTCTAATCTGTGTGCTCGTCTACTTGTGCCAAAAATACACAGCCCTGCTTTTTAATATGGAAAATGTGCATTTGCTGCCATAGTCCCAGTTTATGGTAATGAAATCATAACACGGGTGGTGTAATCAAAGCCCAAAACCAAACTTTGAAACAGAAACAGCTCAGGATGTCAGATGATAGCTTGTTTTACGGAGCTTAGATTGATAGTAAATTGACAGTTGAGCAGGTGGCCACCTCCAGCCGTATGTTTTTCATAGTTTAGTTCGTTTCACAAGAAGGAGGACATCAAATCACACATGTCTACAGATGGTGTTTCAGGTAGCTCCTGGTGAATAGGAGATTTTATACAATAGATACAGCACATATTGACTTTCTGAACTGTTCTGCAATGTATTATAATGCTGCAGAAGAATTCTATTGTGACATTTTTCCCTCGATGGATGCAAAGCAGCGTCTGACTGCATCGCTAACAAACATAACTGGAGGAGCGCTCCTTTAACCAGACGACAGCAGCACCGAGCCCCAGACACACAATTGGTTCTCTGTGGGTTGCAGCTTGCCCATTATGCCTTGCAGCCTGCTCTTGAACACCCCGCTGAGCTATTTACTTCACAGCCAACATCCCCTCCGTTTACTGATCTGTTGCTCCATGCCATACCGCTGCACTGCCTCCGCAGAACCGGAAAGCCTCACAGGGAGTTAACAAATCCTGTCTGGTGCTGCAAGAGCAACAAATGTTACTTAGGCAAGAAGTGGAATTGACTGCTGCGCCTGAACTTTCAACTTTTGCTCCCTGGATAGTTGTGGAAGTGTGCTGACCCAGACAGATGGTGCTTGTGCCACAGCTCCACTCTGCCCACTCACCTTTTTTTTTCAAGAGCTGGAGAAGCACTGCTCCCACTGGGCAGCTTGTACTGGTTGTGTAGGAGTGCCAACCTTTAGATGTACAATACTTTGACCAGAGTTAAAATGCAGGGATTGCTGTTAACCACCTGGTCAGTGAGGTTACTGAGTGGATCTGTCATGCTTTTTTTTTTCCTCAGGTCAGATTCCTGTAAACACATGCCATATTAAAATAGACTCACTACAAACTCACACAGAAATAAATCTTTGCAAATCTAAAGCTCACTGATTAGGATGTTTGACTGTCTCATTTGTTTAATCCATGCAAAAACCAAAGAGTGGAAACAATGTGCTGTTTAATTAATTGAGGCTGCTTTGCATGCCAGGAAGTTTTTGTTCCTGGCAATGAAATAGTCCTGTACAAACCTCCAAAGTAGCCATAATAAACCCCCTCCCATTAAACACTGAACTGACATGTTCACACTTTGAGCTTTACAGGTGCTGGTAGACTAATTTTACCTTCAAACAAGGTCTTGTTTCTCCCTGTTTCTAGTCTTTATGTTAAGACAAGTCCTCCAGTAACAGCTTCATATTCATCACTCATTGGATCAATCCTCTCCTCTAACTCTTGTTTAGAAATTCAATAAGGGTTTCCCCAAATTATTCCTTCACCCTTCAACAAACCAACCAAAAAAAGTTTTGCAGCTGCTTATTGAGTCCCATTTGTTGAACAGAATCCTTTTTCCATCTCTCTTTTCCGTTGGTCGTAGTCTCACTGCATTTACCCATGACCACCTTTGCTTTATGACTCGTATTAAAGTGAAATGTGCAGAAGTCAAAATGATGCATCCTCACGCCAAGAGCTTATTATAGCCTTTTGTCTATGTGGACAGCAAGTAAGAGCTGCCCTCACACGGCATCCGCAGCTCTGCACTGTATCTTTGTAGTCTCTCCAGGTAGCAGAGAAAGAAAGATTCCCCGGGTGCCAAGTCAGGCTTTTGTATTGCTGACATGTGTTTATGTGTGCCTGCCATGAATTTGATAGCAGAGTCAAGAGGCAGAGAGCTGGTGTAGAGAGTAGCCACGGACTCATTGTGAGATAACCAAAGAAAGATGACAGAAGGTGAAGGAGAAAAGACAGTGAAGGCTGGCAGGCGATTGAGCCAGGGATTTAAGGGGCCATCGGAGATCTGAATTACGACAGCCTGTGTAGAACTGAGCATCCCACACACAGATGTTCACAATCATCACCCCAGACAATTAATAATTATAATAATAATAATGACGACGGCGGTGACAACTGGGAGAATCAGGAGGCAGTGAATGATTAAATGATAATTCTCTGAATTGGCCAGCAGAGATGTTTAGTTTGGAGTGGCTGCGGCAGACAGACAGAAGTAAAAATATCAAGCTAATTAATCCAGTTTGGTGTCAGTTGGCCGATGACAGACCAAAACAAGGAGATAGTCTGAGCGGTCGTGGAAAGTGGAGAACAGCAGGAACCAAACAGCCTCTGCCCTGACGTCGACCTCTGAGAAAGTTTAGAGGACCTGAATTTAGATAACGTCAGCATGGAATGTCATCACCAATCAAACACACATTCAGTCAGGCCAGGGCTTGTACCGGAGCAGCAGAACACACTCTGGATACCTTTAGGCTGTTAAAATTACCTCCCTTTAAAACATAAGTGCACCAAATTGACCACAATGCTTGAGGGCCGCAGCAGCGCAGTGGAGCTCATCAGGAAGACGGACAATAACGGAACATTCCTGCTTTGATTTACCACAGAAGAGTGAAGCTGGAGGGTATGCAGGGGGGCCTTCAGAGCCTCCTGGCTATGGATTTGTCCTTCCCATTTTGTTTTTTAGGGGAAATACTTGAACGCACACCAAGGGAAGATTACTTTTGCGTGCTGCTAAGTAGCAAAGGAGGATGAATTGGGTTTAGGTCAGAGTCGGAGTACAGAGATTTATGGGTTCGGGAGGAGGTGATGTCTGACTGCATCTTGGTGCGTCTACAATTCTGGCAGTGTTTAGGTGAACACGTACACAAGGAGCTGAAAAGACTAAGATAGATGTTGATTCCCGCATATGCTCTTATTTAATAAGCCTGTGGAACAAAATTCCATCCGAGAAACAGATGAACACCATATTACGTTGTTATTGCACTTTATATTTTGGATGAAATTGGTTTTGGAGTCATTTTCATCAGCGACCCCACGTGGATGCATTTACCCCCAGACAGATAAATAAGCACCTTCTACAGTCAATGCGACTATCCACAGCAATTGTTTATTGGAAAATAATAATCAAGCATGCTCTGGGTGGCATTCATACTTATATGCATATCTGCACATACAAACACACACGGTTATAGTCGTCATGGAAGTTCACCGTTCTGCACATCTACACCGAAATAAACTGCAACGTCTGCTTTCAGTGGGAATGTTTTACTGATTATCAGCAGAGAAAAACGCTGCAAAAAGTTGCGCTTCTATGACGGCTACATCTGTGCATGCACTCGTACACAGTCACACACTCTCTCACATCTGAAAATACTCTGTCTTTGCTCATTTGCTGCTTTTCTACTCCCTCATTCCCAACCTGTCTTGTGGTTTTCAGCCCAAGCTAATAGTCCTCAGTCTATAGACACTCCTGGTATCTGTTGGTATGTGGGATACAGGGAGAGCTGTCTTATATCACATCTTGTTCAAGTCTCATGGGCGTATTTAGCTGTAGTTCAGAACTGATTGAGACATCGACGGGGTCAGTAGGGGGAGAACAGAACCGACGTGTGTGTTGAGCAGATGGGTCCGGGCGCCGGATGAAGCAGCGCCTGAGGGAGGGGCTGGCTGTGAAACAGGGCGGGGCTTGAGTTTGAGGCAGGTTGGAGGGGAAACGGGGGCAACGATGCCATGGCGGCGGCGACAGAGAGCTGACGCTGCAGGAGGCAGGAGGCCAGAGGTTTGGTCAGGTCTTGGTTCTTCCGTAGAGTCAGTCTTATCTGAGGACGAAACACAGACAAACAAACTGAAGTGGGTTTTTTTTTCCTCAAGAGGAAATTGAGCAGTTTAAGTAGGAAACCAGAGATGGAAAAGTAGATGTAGAAGTAAGCACCTGGCAAATAAAGCTGTCCTAGCTATTGCCAATCTTATCAATAATCAGCTCTCATTTTTAACGCAATCTGCCTTTTGTCTGCCTCACAATGTCACAGGAGTAAAACACTCGAAATATCTTATTCCTCGGTCCATATCGCTGACAGTTTGTCTCACTGGCAGTAGGGAGTGGAGCTTCCTGGAAGAGGCCCCTGAGAATTACCTCACGTACACAAACACAATGATGAGGGGTGAAAGTAGGGAACAGTGGAATACTCACTGCTTGGAAACTCTGGTGGCGCTGGGTGGGAGTGTAGGGGCTGAACTTAGGCTTGGCGGGTTTACCTGCCGCTCTGTCCTTGTGTCTTCTACTGCTGATGTGCTGCAGCAGAGCGAAGAGACGCGCAGATAAACACACAGGAAAATAAACACAATGTAAAGACAGTGCAGACAGACAAAGACGGTCTTCTTTGCTTTGACTAATCTGTGAAGCCTAATCAAAGTTCCTTCTTCCACGATTTAGGCAGAATGCGTATATTTTGTTGGCACTTTGAGGTTCAAAATATTCATGAGGGGCGGGTTTGGAAATCTTTTTTTTGATTTGATTGACAAACACAAACAGATGGCTACGGCCAGCGTGGCACACAATCAGCAGTGAACTGCTCAATATTCATGAGCACCTGGCCAAAGTTAACTTTTAAACAGTTAGATATGAAGACCAACACTATGCATTCATATCACGGAGAGGGATGCTAACATCGTATTCAAATGCTTGCTGAAATAGGGGAGGCTTAGTAGCTTTGTGCTCATTATCTTGAGGGATCTGTGATTTTAGCTCACCTGCGGCGACAGGTGTGAGATGTCCACGCTGTGATTTGCAATAAAATATGTATGGTCCTGAATTTCCTGTCTGTAATGCACAGTGGATAAAGTGATAACGGCTCTGTTGATGCTTTCCACTTGCTGAACTGCGTGAACTGCAAATCTGTGTGGTAGCTGCCCTTTTTATAGCTTTACATGCACAAGAAGAACCGACCAGTAAGAAGTGAGATGAGCAAATTTCTTTTGTCACCTCCTTAGTATTCTTTCTGCATGAGCAATGTAGCAACAGTAGATAGTAAATGGGCGCTTTTGATCGTGTTATTCATCTACAAATGCCTGGACTTTTTGGGCTTAAACCAAAAAAGAGTTTACAAAATACTGTTACTGTACTGTGCTGCCACAGTGAACCATTTGTCAGAGAAGAAGAAAACGGCGTACATGAAACACAACGCGAGAAAAGAAAGCACTTCAAATACAATCTGCCACAAATAAAAGCTAATAAAATGCAAAAGTATATCCCTTGAATAATGAAACATATGATGCACTTCTATTCCACTTCAATCAAGTAGCAAAAGAAGGTTTTTCTGTCCAGGGAGACCATTAAATCTGTCTGTTTTTATTGCTTTTATAGCACAATGACAAATGTAATTGCAATTGTTCTTTAGATTTTTCCACCAAACATCAATAAACCATCTTTCCTGTCACATAAAGTTTTAAAGTCTGAGTCACGCATAGATAAAAATGTCACTGCACAAATCCACAGATGTCGGTGCAAAATGTCAGAGTTAATAAAGTTTGTGCCGAGCCGCCGGTCAGCCAGATCAACTCACATTTATGTCTAAGAGTTGGAGGTTTGCATTCTACATCACATGACGTCTAAAACTGATGCAAACCAACAAACTTTCAGAAGCAAGAAAATACAGTATTTCTCTGTTACGTCTACTATGCGTGGAATGTGTCTCTGTGTTAATGGCTAAAACAACCTGTCCAAATTTCAATTTTCTAAAATTTTCCACGGCTGACCTGTTTGAGCTGAGTCTCCGAGTTCACGTGCACATCGCATATCTCACAGTGGAAAGTTTTGTTCTGGAGTCCGGTCGCCAACTCAGATGGTGCAGCCATCTTGGCTTTAACCCCCATCCTCGGGAATGACTTGATTGCTCCATCACCACTTCTGGCCTCGAGCATCGTCTTGTGCTTAGTGCCTGAGCACATAAAAAGTCACATCAACAGAATATAAAACACGTAAGCTAAGTCTGACTTGGGGAGCGGCTGGTTCTCACCACTGTTGTGGGCCTGGAGCTGGGAGGCTGAGTTGACAGCCACCTTGCAGAGGGAGCAGTAGAGCAGACGTATAGCTTTTTCTTCTTCCGTCTCCTCCTCTGGAGCCTCTGCCTCTCCGTCTTTTTGTGTCTTTTTCTCCAGTAGCCTCGGGCTGGGTGACAGAGAGGGGTCAGAGGGTGTTTTCACAGTTTCACTGGGGCCACTGGTCGATGGTGCCGTCTCTGAGGTAGGCTTTGGGGCTGACGCTTCTAAAACGAAGGTAAAACAAAACAGAAGAAGATGGCATTAGTAAGGCACAAAGAGACGGCAAGAGACGAGTGCTGAGGAAGTCAGAGAATAGGAGAAACACTTTGTATGAATTTTCTTACAAAAAAGAAAAAAAAATCGATTTTATGACTTTTTCGGCGAGAAAGATAAAAACTCACCAGGCTACAGGTGATTATGAGCTCTATCAACCTCTCTAATGGCACTAATAATCAATGATTTCCCCTGGGATCCTCCTCCCAGCACTTAAATGGACAGTTTTGTATAGAGATGATTTGCCTCAGTTATCTTTTGTGAGGCTGACTTGCTCCTGAAGGAGCACATGCTGATTTAAGGATTCACTCTTTGCTAATAACAATGATTAGCTCTGCCTAGCTGAGTGGGTGTCTGTTTGTTACCACTGATTCCCCGCTCTCTCACTGAAGCATTCTTCAGAGAGCTCTCCTGCCGTCTCATCCACTTCCCTCAAACTCCAAACCTAAAATGATCATTCGTACTAACAAATCCTCATACCACTGTTGTCACGTATAATTCTTCTTCTTTTTTTTTGTTGTTCTTCAGCTGCAGTGAAATGTATTATTTTCATTTCTCAGCGCCCACACGCATGCAAAAGTAGCACATCAACACTGGCACAAATACACACACACACATGTTGGAAAGCAGTCAATGCTTTGACACATCGCCACACTTACGCCGACATGCCTCCACACACACACACACACACACACATGTGCTGGAGGTGCTTGAACAAACACACACTGTACAGCTACCCACAGATCATATTCAAAGCGTTTTCACTGTGCTTTTGATCTCGGGAGGCCACTGAATGAGGTCAGAAAATGTAGACATGAAGAAGGAGCAGAGGATAATGCTCAACCTTTAATCTCTTCGCTGTGCAACCCAAAGCAGCAGGAGGTTTATCACATCAAAGAGTTAAAGTCGTGACTGGGAAAAGAAGGTTTGAGCCGTACGTTCATATATCCAACAGTGTCATGCATTTGATGCCTGCGCGCAGACACATGCGTACGCAGGGGAGGCCTGCGTGCCAGCGGAGACACACACCTCCTGATGTTGTGTCAGAGCTGGAGGGCTGCGAGCAGGGAGATGGGAGGATTTGCGATGTGGTTTCCTTGGCGACTGGTTCAGAGGTCCTGATCTTTGAATCTGGGGCGTCCAGAGCTTTCAGCCTTTTTGCGTGCTTCGTGCCGCTGTAATGGGAAGACGCCTGTGCCTGTGTGCCCGAAGGGAAACAAAAAGGTATGAACACAGTTAATCAGTTGTGTAAACCTGACAATGCTTTTGTTTTATATGACAACACATGACATAAATGTGACGTTTTAGAGGCTGCTGTAACTCTCAGCTTGATCCACAGATGTTTAATATATAGAGATATAGAGTGAAAAGTGAATAAAAAGTTGTCATATTCCTGATCTAAATGCTTGTTTACATCAGTTGCAATGATAAATCTTGCAGTGAAACAGCCCTTTGTTTGACCTGTACATGTCCTAGCTGTTGAACATGTATTTTTTTTGACACTTGCACTTTCTCAGGCTTTGTATCATGCTCAAAAAAGAAGCAGAGCGAGTGCATTACAGCTCTGCTTTCTTATGAATCATTCTTTAATAAGTATAATTAAAAATGAATCTTCTAAGACGGTCAAATAATAGAGGTGTTCACTTTTCACCCAGTTATTACATGAGACAGCTCTGCCCCCTCAGAACCAGTAAAACGGCCAAATTCAAGGGCAGGTCTCCTCAGACGCTCAACTGTCATGTCAGGGTGTGTGTGTGAAAAATCAATGCACTCTGAAACAAAAACAATTCACAGTGTGTGTTTCCACCCACCTCAGAGTTGAACCTCAGTCGACAGACTCCGCAGGAACTGGGCTTTCTCTTCAGGGGTGAGGTTAATCCGAAGCCTGGGCCGATCAGAGCTTTATGGATGGGATCCATCTGCAACAGGGCACGGGGGTCATGTTAAGGTCACGACTGGTTCGAGATCGTAAAAGACAAGACGGAGTTACGTAATGGAAGTGATCACCAGAGTGAGGTGTAAATGACAGGCTGTCAGCGAGGTAATATTCTCCTTTGGAGACACAGATTTAGAATGTCTGAGGTCAGAGGTCGGAGCTGAACGGTGGGCAGTTTGCTGTCCAGTCATGCTCCCACGTTATCAACAACAGCCAACGCACAGCGCATAAATTACATGCTCTCTGCTGTGGAGACTTGACTAACAGCAGAAGGTTTAAAGTGACACTCCACCTGAGATTCTGCCTCGTGAAGATGAAACGCTCAATACCTGCAAGCTGGAAAGGTGTCAAGAGATGTAATTTGTATGCAGAGCGGAGAACATGGTCAGCTCAGATTCATAGCAGATCAATTCATTCTGGGAGTGACATGTTTTCATGGCATCAGAATGTTTACATAAACTGTCAAAGCACTCTGCAAGCACATCCCACTTCTCCTCTGCCCACCAGTACGCTTGATATGCTCCAAACACTCGTATCGTCAGCAAAAATAGGACTAAATTCATAGCTTCCATCTCTATTGACTGTCAAACTCACAAGCACTCTTTGTTCTATGGTTGTCCAAAATCTCAATTTTAAGGTCGTTTTCAGTTCTTCCTACTAAATTATCTAAATTATTTTAGGTATTATGCTAATAGTGCAAAACTACATTTGTTTCTCAGTTTTTACAGAGAATTTTCTTTCATAAATTACATAAAAATGTTCTCTGTAGTTAAATATGTAGCTCTTTTATAAAGGTTTATGTCCATACTATCAATTTATTGTTTTTCCTCACAGTTCCAAGGTAAATCTTATTAGTGTTTTACTTTCACATTGGAATTCTAGACACATATCGACCAAACTTTTTTTCCATTATCATTATATCCAATTAAAGTTTATTGATGTGTCTAAAAATGTAGAAAAAATCCCGATAACCTATAACGAAAGTGTCTGTAAATTTATTGTTTTTGCACTTTAGAAGAATCCAGATGTTTCACTTTCACTTCACTTTGTTGCTACAGTGATCATCACATCTACTCAGTCCACACTCGCCTGAGGCGCCACAAAAGAAGAACATGAAGGGTTATGCACTAGATCGACTAAAGATGTTCTCTTCCTGCTCCCTGCATGTCAGTATCGGAGTCCATTTGGACCACCATGAAGCCACGCTGACCACAGCTTCTTTAAACCCAAATAGACGAACTACCAAACTTTTTACAGTCACCTTTTAAAAACCTGCAGGAGTGAGTGTTTCCTCAGCCGGCCCTGTTCCAGGAAGCCTCCACGACACTCACCCTGCGGATGGTCTTTCCAGTCAAACTGCTAGATATCATTACCAGTCAGGGAAAATAAAGGCTCCGCAGTTTAATATGATGCGTTGTGGTGGTTTTGTGTTGTGTGAACACTCAAAAATCAACTGATTAGCGACAGAATTACAAACCTTTCACCTCCGGACTATTTTTCTTTACGAGAGCAAGAAACAGGCAGTAAACCTCCCAGTGCCTTTGCATATGTGTAGGCGTGTGCGTGTGTGTGTGTGTGTGTAGACAATACCAGCATCTGACCACACAAAACTGTGCACCTCTGGACCTTACTGGAAATTGTAATGAGCACATATACTCAGTGTCATAAAACCAAACTGGCCTTCGTGGAACAAAACAAACCTATTACCTGAGATGAAATGTAGGGGGTCGTATAAGCAGCCAAAGCAGGAAGGCTTTATGGAAATCTGGCTGGCGGTGATGTCTAAATTTATGTGTTATTATGGGTCAGCCAGCTTCTTCTGTAAGCCCTGGGAACATATAGCTGCACCGCGCTGGAGATTTGGCTTGTTCCTTTAGTGCCAAAGCCCAACTCTTGAAACGTCAAAAACGCAACAGAATCTGTGCATGTGTGTGAGTGTGAGTGTGTGTGTGTGTGTTCGCACTCATTTTCTTTGATCATCACTCCAGGCAGCTGCACTGGAATGCATCTCTGCAGTCACTGCTCTCTTATCTGTCTCTGTTTCCCTGCAGCTGTTTGTGGATATAAAACTCAGGCAAACCCATGTAAAAACAAGTGAAGGCTCTTCTGAGTAGTAGTCGTGGAATCGCTGAAATCAAGAAATACAGCAGAGTGTGTAATGTGACACATCCATAACAGCATCAACACACTTATGAGAATGTGAGCGCAGTTTTACGCTTGGCTGAATGAGAATGAGCGTTTTTTAACTTGAGCACCAGCCTCCCTCCTCCTCCCTCCTCCCTCCTCAGCCCCGAGGCTCCTGTATCACCGCCTGACCTTCCATCACGCATTCCTCGCTTCACCCCTCCATCTGCTTACCTCTGAACTCTCTGCCTCTCCCTTCGTCTCCGTCTCATCAAAGTCACCCTCCTGCCTCCCCGCGGATTCGCCCGCTTACCCTCCACTCCCACTCGACGCTCCACGACGGACTAGCACCTGTGGCAAAGTCAGCATGCCCTTCTTACTCATCGCCTCTTCAGCTCTCCTTCCTCAGATAATACATCACCTGATGGAGCAAATCTGCCTTCGAAGACGGCAATGAAAATAATACATTCAGTAAATAAAGACATGACATGCGCCTCACAGCATCAATTATAATTCATTCTCTCTAGAAACCTCTGCACACAGGGGAGGTGGCATGTCAGACATGCGCAGCTCCCTGGACTGAGTTATGGCTGAAACATATGGCCGAGTGAAGCAAAGCAGACTTCTACCTGGATCACAGTCAAGAGCCTGAGATTTTATACTGATGAATGTTCCTGCATTTACATTGTGTACCGGCGTGACAGCTACGTGTGAACGCATGACGTCAAGCTCCCTAGAAGGAGTGATGAATGAGCTGCCGCTTTTGGTTCTTTGTCATTTAAATGATCATTTTCTTGGAAAAACAACGCCAGCGTTCTGCCAAACTCCGAGCCAAAGTAGCTGGCGAAGTCCGAGTTTGAAGAGCAAGGAGCCCTTCGCGTGGCTCACGACAAGCATCCACACGAGCTCGCGCAGACCCTGTCGCCATGGCAACGCACATGTGGGCACCAAACAAACTCCGTCGGAGGCCGACGCGCACTGCATCCACATTCACGACAGAATGCAGGCTTGTACGTGCGCGCGCCAAAAAAGAAACCCACACACAAAAACACACATTCCAGGAGAAGATGCAGGGAGCCAGAGTTCAGCTGTGTGCCCACTTACTTCACACCCACAGGTTCAATTCAGAGGAGGCAGAAGATTCCCTCACAAAATAGACTTGAGACAATATTTCATTTTCTTTAGCATTGAAATCCAAAAACATACCCAAGGAACACTTCATCCTGATCTCAGAGGTGACATTTATTTAACAAACACAGTAAAGCTGAAACAATTGGTGCCTAATCGATGAGTCACTTCACAGAAAAGTGTTTAAATTAGTCATTTTTTTAAAAAGCAAAATGCCAAAAATGTTCTATTTACCCCAGCAGCTTTCCCTCATCATTTATCATGGTGAATTGAATATTTGAAGGGGGGGGGGGGGGGGGGGGGGGGTTGGACTGTTTTCTGAGAGTTTAAAGACAAAAGTGATGAGACATTAATTGAGATAATATTCAGCTGTTAATTGCTGCCTCTAAGTCTTTAGAGGTGGCAGAAGGAGCTTTCAGTGCGCATAATGAGACGTATTTCATGCATTTGGTCGATATTTTCAAGCTTCGTTGTACAAAAAAAAAAAAGCTCCAAAATTACACCCCACCGATGTCAAACACTGTAAAGTTCAGAAGCTTTTTACAGTTCTGACAATATTCCTGTGGCTGCAGAATGGGACAAGTGTTGGAGGTGGAACAGAATGAAAGAAAGGAGAAAGACTGCACTTATACATAGGTGGGAAGGGATATGACTCAGCAGGGAGAGGGTGATGTGAGAAATTTAGAGAAATTCTTCAGACAAGTCATCCACCAAGAGAAGGGAAAAGGTGAGACATGCCAACAGTTTGATTAAAAAGTGGGAAGATTTTTGGTGTTGGTAGGAAAAGAGGAAGGGGAAAAGGAAAGAGAGGTAGAAACCAGTGCGAGCGAGAGAAAGTGCACGAGAGGATGAAGGATGGGAAAGATGACAGCAGGGGACAAAGTGGAAAATACATGAGAAGAGAGGAGCTGAAGTGAAGAGGGCAGTGGAGCAACACAGAAAGTGGAAGAGGTGGACGGAGAGAAGAGGTGAAATGAAAGAGGAGGGAGCCGAGACCTGGACCGATTCCTCCCTCAGGTGGCAGATGGGCTTTTTGACAATGAGAAGGGAGCTAAGGCACACATACAGCCCACACCTATGCAAAATAAATGCACTACACCGCACACTGACAGGCCACCAAGCGAACGCACTCCTCCCTCTAAACCCTCAATTTGTCTCTGTCTTCTAACAGCACATGGCGGTTTTAGAAATGCGACGAAAAGTAAAGAGAGCGGAGGAACAAAAGGAAAATTGTCAGTTTTGCCTCAGAGTGGTTATTTAGACAGAATCAGCGGTGGCTTATGAGTGGCTTTTAGCCTATTACATCATTTCAAGTTCAGCTTCTGTATGTGTGAAGACAAAGGGAAAAAAAAACGCTTTTTGGCCCGAAACGCACACACTCAGGCTCCAGCTACATTACACCTACTACACTGACTCAGGATGGAGAAGTGATTTAATACATTACCCAGCCAGGATTATTTTAAGACATATAACATGGTTCCTGTGTAAACCATACGTCAGCCCTGGGCTCGGTCTCACACATCAGCTCTTGGACTTGCACTTCCCTCCACCTTCACCCCTCACAAACACTGGGGCAGACAGCTCTAAGAAAAGCTCTGCGTGAGGAATACCAAGGAATCAGCTCCACCCCCCAGGTTGTGTGGAAATGTCACAGCTCTCTGCATCAGAGGTGATATATTTGGAAAGGTGTGGGCAGCGCGCTCATGCATCTGTGTATCAAACATTTAACTCCAAGCAGGGACACTATTCCATGAAATTAACTCCTCCGCATGCAGCAGCAAATACTGCTGGTGTGATAAAGTGCACAATTTAGGTTTTGATAAGAATTAAAAAAAAAAAAAAAAGGCATGGGAGTACAGTTGGCGAGAAAGAGCGGTTGCCATGACGGCTGCGATGACTGGCAGTACTCACGTCAGTGAATCCAGGCAACAGGTGGAAGGGGAGGAGGGCTTTGGGGTCGGGGGAGGGCTGGGTCCTGCCCAGCGTGGGACGAGTCAGCGGCGGCAGAGCGCTGTGACACACATTACCTGAGAAAGAGCAGAGCAGGGAGGAGACGGGCAGGTAGATAAACATATGGAGCAATGACTCAGTGCAGGTGAGACGATTCCTTTTAGCTGATCATCAGGGTGATGACAGCTAATAAGATGAAGAGAGCGAGATGAAGACACTATTTGCACAAAAACTTGTCTGGTTATATTTTCTTGATACACTGTAAAAAAAAATGAGCAGTGTTTTCACAGTTTGGTTTTTTTCAACATTACAGTATTCTGGTATTTTTAACGTATTCTTTCAGGCAATCTGGCTGATCTGATTTTCCCTTTGTTGTTGTTGTTGTTGTTTTTAATGTTACAGTATTCTTTTGTATTCCTTACTGCCAGATTTTCCCCATTTTTATTTTATTTTTTACAGTGTACGCTTTATTTTACTCTCTTACTGCTATTGCTGCTTTACTGTGTGTGACGCTTTGAACTGTTGGTCACTTTTTAGCTTTATGGGTGCCAATTAGCTGCAGAGCGAACCCAGACACCATCAGTGTTGTTAAGCAGCCTCTCTTCTACGTGCACTGACCCCTACAATAAACACTTTAACAAAACATATTCTGCAGCTCATGGACAAGTCCTAACTGGAAAAAATGCTTGATCTGAGGGTTTTCTTTTACTCATAACGCAAAAGTGCTGCCAGATCAAACATCATTTTATGTTATGTTGGTTTGTGACGCCTACTAATCCACGCTGGCAGCAACGTCAAGTCAGAAACTTGTATGTCAAGCAAAGGTGGAAGGTAAACACAGCATACTTTAACTGTTCTAAGCTTCATCTCCACTGCACTCTGTCTTTGGTTCATTTAGATTTTTTACATACAATTCTTTTATAAAAATATAATTCACAGTATTATTACATAATTAAAGACTTTTTACACATGAAGCCATCATTCATCCGTCTGCAGGATTTGTGCAAAACTATACTTTGGAAACTTTTGTACTAGAACTGAAGAGCTTAAGTAAAAGCTGGCGTGCTTGGGTCACATAATTGCACTTTGTGTGCAGGCTATAATTATTCTGGGTTGTAATGTATTACTTCTTTCACAATCTTTTAAGTGCATTTTTAACATTTTGTATATTAAAAAAAAAAAACTTAAATAAGTCACTTCTAAATGATTTTCCACACACACGTCCAAACAAATCACAAAACACATTATATCAACATCACACTCACTCATGCAAAGCCTGTTAAACCGCATCCAAACTAACATGAATGCACTTGTAAGCTGACACACACACACACACACACACACACACACGCACGCACATTAGTGGCTCACTGTGGCCAAGACTGCTCCGTGTGATAAGCGTCTTGTTTGTGTTGCTCATTCCTGATTGTGCAGCCTTGTTTTGCAGGTTGCACGTTGATTACAGTTTGATTCAGCTCGCATGTGTAATCATCATAATCAAAAATCACAACACACCCATCCGCTCTGCCATTAGTCTGATTGCCTTCAAAGATTTGTGTGTGTATTTGTGTGTGTGTGTGGGCGTGTGTGTGTGTTGGAGCTGGGTGTGGAGAAATGACTTTTTAAAGAACTCGTGACATACAAGAAGCTGACAGACTCAACACACACACACACACACACACACACACACGACCTTAAATGGCCTGTCACATTTAAAACATAGAACTATTACACATTTATAACACAACATGCATCCATCACAATCAACAATAATATATCCTGGTTGGTCCATTTGTAGCATTTCTACTATATTTTGAACTTACAGTGTCAAATATCCAACAGTAAGCATGCATAAGCCCTCACAAAGTATTTTTAATTTCTATCTTCTGCTAATATTTACATGCTGCTGTTATTTCTCGTGCGTAATAAAGAAAAGGCTATAAACTAAAACATGATCCAGGCTTCAGTAACCTGCCTCAGTCTGTTGCAGGTGACTGACTGACTTCCCACAGCTCCATTCCAACATAGCAACAAGTGACTGCGCTGCGTAATTACCAGCAACACAAAAAAAAAAACTCTTCTGAGAATTAAAGCATTTGCGCGTCGTTTACGTACCAAAATACATGGCGGCACCAAGTGAAATCCCGCTTGTTCAGTGTTTGATGGAAGAGTGTTTCATCTCCGGGCTGAGATGAGGCTTCTTCTTCTTCTTCCTCCTCCTCCGGTCTCCCTCTTTCTATCTCTCTCCTGCGGCTCCGATGCTGTTCCTTCCCATCTGGATTCCCTCCTCCTCCTCCTTAAACTACCCGCCCCTCTTCCTCCTCCTCCTCCTCCTCCTCCTCATCTCTTCACGAGTCGTTGTACAAATCTACCTCTGTATCTACATCTCACAGAAATCTGGTTTTAATTCAGTAAATAGAGCTTAAATTACCTTAATGGGTATAAAGCACCAACCCTGGATTAGTGTGAAAGCTCACTGTCAGAGCAGCAAAAAGCCACATTTGGATTTGATACACAGAGCAACTCAATATTTCACAGAGTAGATGGCTTGTATTTATTTATTTTTTTAGTAACTTAAAGCTGCACCTTAGACATCAAACTGCAAGACAAAAAAAGAAAAAAAAAAAAGGAGGAGGCTGCTGTTTTTAGGAAAGCACTCCTGTGTTCTTCTTCTGCTTCTGTAAATGCTTTCCCATCCTCGCTCCTTTTTCCTCTCGGGCCCTTGGTATTTTTAGATGCATCCTGGCGCTTTCACTGAGAGGAAACTGCACACAACACATACAGTAACACACGGTCCAGCTTCAAAAACATCACGAGCTCGCCACGCTTACATGCAGGAAGACGGACAGGAGCTCGTTGCATTCTTCTTCAGCCTGAGTGATTTCAGGAATGCAATGTCCGCCTTTTTTTTTCTTCTCTCTTCTCACTTGCACACACTTTTAGATGGAGTGTATCTTTTTGGCAGACTGACCCCACTTCAACTTTCTTGTCCGCGAGCCCAAACATGTTTCCTCCCTGCGTCTATAAAGCGGACAACAACATGTGTTTTCCCACAATCCCTAAACTCCAGGGGGATTCACGTCAGGAAGGCTGTCAATTCAACAGCTGGTGTGTCCCCCCCCGAAACATGCACAAACACTGCCTTTGTGCTCACTAACAAACAATTTTTTAAAATCCTTGATAACGCTGGAACATATTTGTGATGAGAAAGCACAATAACAAGAACTCACACAATCAGACTACAAACTGAACGGAAATAAGACAGACGTGTGGCGTGCGACTGGGCCTCCCTCACTCAGGGTCATTCAGTCAAATCAGAATACGAGAGTGTGTATCTATAAAAAATATATGTGCTATCCCCACGTTCGAGGCATATCTTGAGCCTTTTCATCTGGACTGCACCTTCATTCATGAGCCACATGGAACAAAAAAAAAAAACGTAGAGGAGAAAAAATACAGACATGGAAATATCTACTCATAAACTCAATTTCACGCCCCTTTTGTCACTTACTGTATTGCCAGGCGTTTTGTGTTCATCTGAGAAAGAGCAGAACACTTTCAGGGCCTGTGTGGTATTATTTTTTTTCCCCCTCCTTCCTTTAAAAAGGAGCAGTTGAAAAGTTTCTTCTTGCCTCGGAACAAAGCAAAAACACAATTGGAAGCGTCGTCGTTCTAGCTCTGACCAGGTGTCTTCTTTCCTCATGTGCGGGAGCAGAGCCAGACCAAGAAATCACCTTTGGATTTCTGCTGTGAAACTTTTCGTGGGCAAAAATGTTGGAGCAGGTCTGTCTGGAATTTCTGGGTTAGTGCAACAGCAACACGAAAACCAGGCAGAAGTCAAGTGTTATGGCTGTGGATGAAAGTTTATTGTGCTAATGTGGCTGAAGAAGTTGCCGTCTAAAACCTGATCCTGGTCTCCTGCTCTCCAGATGTCATCGCTCGAACACAAACTCAGCAGCGAGTCCAACATGTCGCACCGGAGCTAATGTGTTAATGACAATCTTATTTTACGCTGTTTCTCGTCTCGGGTTTCAGCGCTCAAGCGATAGTTAAATGCTTTACACCTGCAGCCCTTTAGCATCATAGACAAACACTGCGGCTGTCATGGCAACAGAGGTATGTAATATTATGTTAAGTGGGCCGACGCTGAGGCTCTCAGCTGTGTTTGTCGCCGGCAACCTGTTCAATTACGTGCAGGAGTGGAATCCTGTGACCCCAGCTGGGCCTTGAATGTGGACAGCAGAGCACAACGGGCTCTCTTATGAAATTAGAAGCTTTTTTTTTTAAAGGTGTTAATTGACTTGAGTACACAGGAAGTCCGTGGAGCCAAACACAAGGTGGCAGACAAATGTACAAACACCCTGTTACGGAAACTGATTTTTAATTCCACAACAAGCTGAGCTGAGACTAAACAGCTCTTCAAACACACTCTTGACATTTTCTCTGCAATCACCTCCAGGTAATAATCCACCTCTCAGCTCTCTCTCTCTCCCTCCGTTGTGTATTTTGGGGAGCCTGAACACACACACAACCACCCATCGGCTCACCTCTCCCTTTGATTGGTCGCCATAACAACATCACCATGGCAATCAGCGTGCATTGACTTTGATTCTATTTATGTGATGATGTCAGCCGATGCGGAAATATCAAATTTGCGTTTCTCCGCTGACATTCGCTGACAGATGCAGGGTGACGGAGGAATGCAGGATGTCACACCAACGCGCGCAGCGAGACTTTTGGCTTCCCTCGTGTGCTTGCAAGCAGCACAGATGCAGCAATTAGACGCGGTAATAAAGCACAAGTTGGACCGCCAATGCCAGGTGCAAATTCAAGATCTCTGCATTTTAACTTTGTGCTGTTTGTGTGCACACGTATGAAGCCTTCAGAAAACTTTTCCATCGTCTACCTGAGACAATATCAAACTTAAGTTCTCTCTGTTTTTTTTTACATATAATTTCTGCTGAGTCAGATCCACTCAGATTCAGTTTGATTGATACCATCTCAAGCAAACAACTAAAATAAGTTTTCTGAAAATCTACAAAAGTGGAGTTATCTGTTTTTGCCAATGAACTCTTCATATATTTTGCTTTACTTCCTGTCATTCACTTACACTCATAGATGCATGGCAGCGAGTTAAGTTCAAAGGTGCCAGTCTGACCATCAGCGGAGATTTAGGGTTCAGTTTTGCTAAAGGACAAATGGATTAAAGTGCCAGTGCTGTGATTAGTGCCTGCTCCTTGAGCTGCAAAACAAATCTCCAAATTTAGTGACTTTTGTTGTCATGTGACTACTTTCTAAACTTAAAACCAGAGGACTAGCTGAAAAAAAAATGCTGCAGACAGGGCTGATTGTCTTAACTCATCAAAAGTTGACATTTTGGAGATGCATGCTTTTCAAGTTGATCGATGATGATTTACAAAAACAACACAGACACTCTGTCTTTGTGTGGAGAAAATACTTTGGGGACTGAGAAATAGATAACTCTATACCAAACAAGTGCATTTGTTTTTTTAGATGATATTTAAGCGTGAATTGAAGTTTGTTTTGATTCTAATATTAATATTTATGCTAATCACACTTATATAAAAAGAAAAAGCTCTGGACAACAGGTCAAAAAAAGTTTGTGGAACAAAACTCTTGTGAAAACAGGAATTAGGGAGAAGAGAAACCGCGAGGCAACAGAAATGATGGATTTCATAAGTGCTGGCTCTAAAAAAAGATCCCTCCTCTGAGGGGTCAGAGGTCATCGGCGAACAAGGGTCACAATTAAACCCGTGCAGATTTGATGCTGCAACTTTACATTCTTGTAAGATAAGATTCCTCACAGACTGAAAGCACTGGAGGGGGAGGAATCATAAACAGCAGATAAACAGAGCCATGTCGAGGTCAGAGGTGCCATACCACTCATCACTTTAGCATGTATGAGCGCTGGTTCTGGACTCGCCTCTTTACGAGCTACACATGTCTAGTAGCATGTGGGTAATAGCCACCACATGTGTGCGCTAAATCCAATTCTTTCCAACCGCTGTGAGGGCTTTACCTTTAGGGTGGGGTCAGAAATGAATCGGCAGACCAGCAGGAATTTGACTGCAAAGTGGTAGAAGGAAATATTGCATCATTGTTCAGACAGACAAAAAAGAACAGAGATCTGATCTTTTTTTTTTAAATTTCACAATTTTCGCAAACGTAACCCTTACCTCTAGGCTCAGGAGGACAAGATTTACAGATTTCACGGCCGGGCTTTCAACCTGCGCCGCCTGCTCAGTCTGCATGGATTATTACACCAGATGTCTTTCCTCAACCCATAAAAATATCCTCATTCACTGGATATAATTAAACATTTACTGCCCGGCGCAGACCCTTCCTATCATATTTTCATAAGAGAAACTTAATAAAAGCATTTGTGGTCATTTTCGCTGTAGCAAAAAAATCATCTTGAGCAGGGAAATCTTGCTCGAGGGACACTGCACGCGCGCACACACACGCTCACGCCACAGTAAAGACTCCTTATGCACATCTGTGAGCCAGAGATAGAGCACTATCTGTCCAGAATGTCATTAACTACCACTGCTGCAGATTTATATTCTCACTGTTGGGCCATATGAGCCTGTCCGATTACACCCGTAGTATGAAGATCTCCTGACTACACACACACACACACACATATATATATATATATATACACACAGTGACACCGAACTATCAAGTCTGTGCATGAATTTACTATTTATGGGAAAAGTGTAAATTAATTCCCTCCTTCACAGGCGAGCCGAATAGCTTGTCGAGAGGGCATCGCAGGTTGCTGCCATGACGACAACGCCGCTTAATATCATGATCATTAATGCCCTGAACAGTAAGAGACGAGATGGTAGTGTGAGACCTAGTGGAGTTAATAAGGAAATGAGAGAGGGAACAAATGCGTTTCACTACAGCGGCTTCGTGATTCGTGCTTAGAGCATCGGCGCTGCCATCTACAGGTGGAAAGGAGGCAGGACACCTTCAACTCATTAAATCAGGTTAACAGGAAGCAGAGTGCATCTCATGTCATATAAATATCAAACATTGCTCATTTTTTAAGATTCAACTATCTAAAAGCACAGAATTATCCCCTGAGCTTCAGTTAAAAGCAGCTGGACTTCTCTTTTAGGTCCTTGGAGGCATTCAGTTCAGAACTGAAAGAGCCTCTTGGACGAGAGAATAAACTTAAATTAGAACCTAGATAAGGATTTAGGATTAACATGACCTGGAGGATTGAGAATCTACACAGACATCACATAGATTAGTAAAATTTGAACCATCTTGTCCAGCTGGGTAATATTAATTTATCTATAATGATATCCTAATAATGCAAAACATATAATAAGTTTAACTAATCTAAACTATAATAATCACTTGTGCTAGGACTTTTACTTCCCTCGTCTCTCCTGTTCCTTAATCTAGTTTCCTTTATGGGCCTCGTGCATTACAAATTCATGTCTTTGTGTGGTAATTACATGCCAGCAGAATCGCATAAATAATTTATTCCAAGTCAATCCCTATGCATTCTTTTATAAAAGCAAATACAACTTTACAATAAAGAGAAAAACAACTGCACAGCTGTCTTTTACAGAAAGTGCCCATCAGCCACAAGACCTATCATGAACAAAACAAAGATTTACTCAACATTTGCGACACTTCGTCAACAGTTTCTGAGTTATACGCTGTACAGCTTTCTTATATCAAGAAGTGTGAACACTGACTCTCCAGGCAGGCACCTCACTCGTCAAACTGTGTGTGAGCGTCACGCCTGAGCGACAGTCGAGCGTGACGTCGGTTCAAACATTGGACAGAGCAAATCATTCATTGGGGGGCAGCTGCAGTCTGTTAGGAGCTCTTGCAGCAGCCCCTGCGCTCCTCCTGGGCCTCGCTGCTCGGTCCGAGGGGGCTGGACAGGGTCACGGCGCTGATGGAGCCGCGGGTCACCTCTCTGCTGGCCACCTTCTTATGGATGGCTGGAGATAAAGGGAGACGAGCAAGGTCAGGAGTCTAGCTGAAGACGTGTGTGTGTGCAGATGTTACGTCTGGACGCCTGTACCTGTGAGAACTTCGTTGAAAGCAGCTTCAACATTGGTGGAGTCCAAAGCTGACGTCTCCATGAACATAAGACCTCTCTTTTCTGGGGAAGTTAAAGGAAAAGGAAAGATGAGCAAACACTGATGTACTCCATACACCTCATTGTCACAAGAACTAGACTAAACTAAGACAACAGCACTTCACCAACCTGCGAAGTCTCTGGCCTCGTCAGCGGGCACGGTCCTGAGGCTCTCTAGGTCGCTCTTGTTTCCCACCAGCATCACCACAATGTGAGGATCCGCGTGGTCGTAGAGCTCCTTCAGCCACCGCTCTGCGCTCTCGTAGGTCAGGTGCTTGCTAATGTCGTAGACCAACAATGCTCCGACTGCTCCCCTGTAATAACTGACAAAACAAACACGGGTTGGATCTCACGCTCAGACTGGAAGCAGTTACTAAAGCGTGCATGGGAGAGGTGCGACTGGTAGCGACAAGCACCGAGATCAGTGTTACTTATAGTGGCACGCACGTGTGAGCCGCCACAAAGGTGATAATTCTCAGTATGTATATATAGCGTGTGTGTGAGTGTGAGTGTGTGCACCCACGCTGAGGTGATGGCCCTGTAGCGCTCCAGCCCCGCTGTGTCCCAGATCTGAGCTTTGATGGTGAAGCTGTCCAGCTGAACAGTCCGCGTGCTGAACTCGACACCGATGGTGGTGCGGCTGTCATGACTGAATTCGTTCTTGGTGAAGCGAGACAGAAGGTTGCTCTTTCCTACACCAGACTCCCCTATCAAAACCACTGACAGACACAAGGGAGCCAAGAATAGTTACTAAATCATTGTGCGATTACAAAATTAGACTGAAGTCACTATTAGCACACATTAAAGACAACTGTAAATGAAAGTGTTGCTGCGGCTTTCTGTAATGACTCAGGAATCCTTTATTTCCTCCTACATGTGCAGACTTTCTGTCACCCTCACGAGACTCCAGACAGTGCTACGTCACATAAACGTGGCAGATCTACCCTGTGGCTGACTCTGCATCGGAATGAATGGAATGGAAAATCCGAGGTGGCTTATTTTAATAAAGAAATAAGCATTCGCACCACACAACTTAGCAAAGCAGGAAATGTAAGATAGTGTTTCCCTGACGGGTCAAAGGTCAAATGTTTAACAGTCAAATGGACACAAAGCGATCACTTCCTCCTTTCAGCGCTCCCCCTCTCTTCCTTTGAACACCACACAGCTGCACCTGACACCCTCAGCGGCTACAGACACAAAGTAACATACACTAAAAGCTTTATCTCGTCCCACACAATCACTGGTTCAGTAAACAAGACTCACCTTTAAAGACGAAATTGTACGAATCATCAGACCCCATTGCTGCCTTCGGAGGAGGAAGCTTCCCGTTCGACTCGGTAAATATCCTGAAGCCACTTTTAAAATGATTTCCTGAAGTAGAGGAGAGTTAAGAGCCAGACTGAAGGCAAACACAGCCTCACTCCTCCGTCTCTCCCTCTCCAGTGCGGAGAGGAAGAAAGCAAAGGTGATAATGGAGGAGAAAACAAGAACAGGTTGGGCTGCTTCCTTCTTTATCTGTGGATAAGGGCAGCTCCTGATTAAGGACGAGCAGGCAGGCAGGCTGGAGTCCTGATCGCTCATCAGCTGACACCCAAAGGAGGGCCGAGAGCAGGTGGAACAGGTAAAACAACTCGCAGGTAGTCACCGGGAACAGACTCCACCCTCTGCTTTGCTCTTTTCACTCCCCGATTCTGATCATTAGTATGACAATAGACCTCACCTAACAGGTGGATCTGTGTGGAACAACGTGACGCCATTTCACCCACTCATCCGATGCTCACAGGACTGTAGGTAGAGAGTTTGGTTTGACCTGATGTTCTCATTGTATTGATAGATTTTATTTTTTTATTCATTTTGTTAGATTTTTTTTTGATTTAATTGTACTGAATTCCAAATCTTTGCGGGACACAGCTCATGACTTTGATGTACAATATAAATACAGATGCAACCAGCAGGCTCACATTTATTCAGTCAGAAGATATCGTTGTGGCTACAGTGACTGATCCTCTGATTAGCCTTGCTGTATACACAATGATTTATTTTATAGATCTAGAATTGATCATTGCTGATCACTTTCCTAAATATAAACGGTTTCGTACTGGGAAGATGAGGCAGTCTATTGAGTTTAGCTGCTTGCTGTAACGAAATCTCCATTAAATCCAAAGTAAACTTAAATTTATCTCGATTTGGAAACTTCATAGTTTTCTGTGTGAATAAACTTTACATTTTCAACACAACAATGAGCCACCTGCCTCACACTGTGTCGGCCCACCTTGTGCCACCGAAGCAGCTCTGACACATCGGTCCGTGGAGGCGTCCTTGTTGTCTAGTGTGTCAGCAGCAGATCCTTGGGGTGCTGTGGGCTGCAAGGTGGTGCCTCCCTGGATTGTTCCAGTGCGTCCTGCGGATGCTCAACCGGGTTGGAATTTGGAGACTTTGTTGACCCAGTCAGCATCTTGAGTTCTTTGTCGTGCTCCTCAGGGTGCTCCTGAGCAGCTTGTGGGGCGATGTTAGGTAGGTGGTGCGTGTCAGAGTAACATCCCCACGAATGCCAAGACTTCATGTGTCCCAGCAGAACATTGTGTTGTAACAAGATGAACACTATTCACGGTCTGGTTTTAATGTTGTGGCTCATGGGTTCAACGGATTTGTTGCACACTGACCAAAACACTCCCTGAACTAAACTGGAACTATCACGTGTAATTAATGTGGGGGCCTCACTATATTGGAAAAAAAAACAAACTGACATATTTTGTTTTCCTGTGCAATATGAAAATACTGCAACGTGAAAAAATCTGGGACTTTTTACTAGATGACTGAAATAACTGCATTTGTAAAGAATTAATCACGCTAGAATGATTGGGGTGATTTTGTAGGGGAGTGTATCTGCATACAAAATAAATAAAATAACTAAATTTCTAAAAAATGCTATTTGGAACCTTTCTCGTGTGGTGTAACACTGACAAAGGCATCCAAATGAGGTTTTCTGCTTTGGCTGGTATTCAGATCTGGCTTTGCACTCGTACAGCTCCGAGTGGTGCTCATTTAAATGTTTAAACAAATTAGTTGTTTTGAATTGTATGTGGCGACAACTGCAAGATGCTGAAGACGGAGTCCCTGTTTCTGAGTCCCTCATTTTTGTAGCTGAAATATTTCCTCCATTATATTTTTGCAAACAAATCTTCCATTTCAGTGTTTCTGAAGCTGCATGTTAACAAACTGTGTCCTTAAATAAAGCCAGGGGGGAAAAGTCAGTGTGTCCAAGAACCCTTAAATCTGAATCAGGTTAGAATCATAAAGTCGTTTTTTGAACATCAGCAAAGGAAAATAAGGTCCGTGTGACTTTTCTTTTTGAATGAAGCAGCAAAAAAAGGGTTGGCACATTATGTGTTTGAGCAATTTGCCTTACTTCTGCTGATGCTGATGCTGAAACAGTATATTCCGTAATATATTAACACCATTTAATGTCTGTTGTACAATTTGGTTAATTGAAATCTGTAGAAAAAATGTTACCTGCAATTGTACCGGCTTAACTGTCCTTCAAGTTTGCTCTTTTGTTATCCAAACACTCCCAAAAGCAGATTTAATTTTACATCTCCATATGCAACGCTTCACATCGAACAACAAGTTTAATTGCGTTTTGAAACACCACAAAGTAAGTCACCTTGACTGATCTCCACCATTACAAAGCTGTAATCAACTGACGCCGGTCTGATATGTTTTTGACCATGTTTTATTTTTTTTTTTAGTACAGTACTGTTAAAAGTTAGTTCCAACATGTTCAATTGGGAGATGGATTTTTTTTTCAGCTGAGGTCAACAGACAAAGCAAAGCTATAGAAGCAGTTGCCAAGGTTACCACAACTACAATGCTGAGATTTTCAAAAAGAAAAAAAATAATAATATATATAAGACAACCTAGATCTTGATTTGAGAAACGTATGGTGCCACCATACCAAAAATTGTTTGTAAAGCCTTTCCATTATTTAATTATTTTTTCGTTTTTTTTAACTCATTTGATTTCCACGTTTATTTCATGTGAGACAAATCATTATTATCTCTAGGTACTAACTGCACCTCAAAAAAAAAAAAAAAAAAGAAAACAGGAAAAAAAAAAAGAAGAATCAGATTAAAATGAAAGGAAAGCTTGTTTTGTTTCATTCATATTCATTCTAACAGCGCCCTCTGCTTCAGAGATGCTGCAATGTGATATTTGATTATGGTTAAAGTTCTGAATGATGTTGTGCGGACTTTTCTGGGTGGAGTGGGAGGGTGGTTCTAATTAACCCACTGAGTGAGGCTAGAACTTGCTGACAATGCTCCTATAGGGCAGTGGAGGACAGCAGGTGGTGCCTCAGAAGAAAAAAAAAAAACACCGTGTCCCCATGAGTGGGCACTTCTTTCTGGAATGACAAATTACAACTTTAGGGAAGTGTGGAGGGCATCGTTCTCTTAAGCGCTTGCAATAAATAGTGAAAGCTGTTGGGCAAAAACAGCCATTGATGTAGAATCTCATGATCGGGGAAAGAAGGAGGAATGAGGTTGAACTTCTGTATGGACAAGATATCGCCCTGATCACGGTCAGGATTACTGCCTGTATACCAGAACATCTTCATGTAACAACTTGCTGGTTAAATACCAACAAACTGCCTCACAGTGGTCATGTATGAAACAGAGCCAACTGCCAATCACATCACATGGGTTTAATCTGTGTCATGTTAAGGTTTGCCTGCAATACTTGACTCCAGTTTTTGTGAAGAAATCAATGAATGAAGAAAATGGATGGGAATCCCTTTTCAGGAGAGGTTTTCGCTCCTTTTTCTCTGCACCAGAACACCCTTCGAGTTGAGAGTGGTTCAGTCCGACTCTACAGCAGCACTCTGAGACAGAGATCCGGTCTGACGATGTGTAAAAATGAAAGTATCGGGACTAGGGAATGGTCTGGTAACAGATGTAGAATGAGGGTCTTACAGATCCTGCCCAAGTATATTCTGTAAAGTTTGGGACAATACACTTAAATTTCTCTTGGTTCTCTGTAGATGCTGGGGGTGTTTATGAGTTAGGCATGTATGTAGGCGTGTGTCTGTGTGTCAGTATGTACTGTATGTCTTTACGAGGGCTGTGAGCCCAGCAGTCTCTCGATAGCGGCATTGATGTCTCCTCCAGTAGCGATGAGGGCCTGCAGGTTGGCCTCGCGGTTGATGAAGCCCATGGCGTTCAGCTGGTCCAGCTGTGACTGGAACCGAACCTCTGGGGTCTGGGTCTACAGGAAGAGAATTAATGGAACTTTAAAAAAAAAAAAAAAGTCATACAGGTATGAAGGATGTAATTCTTGTGCACATGTGTAGGTGTGTACCGGTGCACTTCCTCCTCCTCCACCTCCTCCAGCAAACATCTGGAGCATCTGTTGCATCAGCTGTTGCTGGGCGGGGTTTGTTCCAGCAGTGCTGGGTGAGGAAGCAGGGTTCTCTGCAGGCATGCCCCCTCCTGTGGGAATGCCAGGGATTCCACCTGTCATCAAACTAGTCCAAAAGAAAAAAAAAACAAGTTTGAATGACATCTCATAAAAATGCAAAATGTGTATATACACATGTATATGTATGTTTGTGTAGGCATACCTGGGCATGAGACCCGGTGCTTCTGTCTGCAGCGTCTGTAGGCCCTGTTGGATCTGCATTAGAGCTTGCATGGCCCTGGGATTGGTCATCACTGACAGCGCTTCTGGGTTCTGCATCTGCAACCCAACAGAAATGGTAACACGGAATAAACAATTAAACAACTAGCAGTGCATTTAATACACATTACATTTAAAGCAAATGTAAAACTAAAGCAACATAACCTCTATTAATTTATTTAAATACAGAAACTAGAAACCAGAAATGTTTTGCCTATATCTGCAATTTGGGAGGCAAAACCATTCCACATGTGTAGACATTCGGGCTGGGCGATGTGGCCATAAACTAACATCTCAATTTCAGACAAAACTAGACTTCTATAATTTTTTTCCTCTGTAATTAAACTCAAAACTAAATGTGAATTAAAAACTGTTTTCTTTTAGTAAAACTAGATTCTATCCCCCAAATACCTGATGGCTGTACAGTGTGTGTAACACCAAAAAAAGAATAAAAGTACTACTAGAAAAAGCAGTTGACATCTGTTGACATATATTTCTAAAGAACAACACTAGAAGCAGCTTAGCAATAATGATCAAAAAACAATACATACACAACAACACAAACAGGGCACTTTTAGCTGTGGTTGGATTTAGGACAGAAGCTACTATCTGAATCACACATAGCAAAGTCACACACATCTTTCTGCATTTTTCACATAACACAAAACCCGCATTAACTGAATTATTTGATCGAGCAGATACATACCAGTGCTAAGTTAAACCTGGATTGAATCTTGCTAAAATTTACCGGCCCTTATATACAAGTCAATCTGTGCTATTCTTTGTTACAGCCTGTGCCTTTTTAGAGAAAACATATAAATCTAGAACTGAGTTACTGGACTGAAAAGTGTGTGGTACCTGCTGTAGAAAGATAGGCAGCTGAGCTCTGAACTGTTCTTGCAGCTGTGGGTTTCCAGCAAACAAGGGATTATTCATCAAAACCTAGAAGACAGAAAAGAACACAGTCAAGGTAATTTGTCATTCCACACCAGACCATGCTGCTTATTCACTAGAGTTGATGTTTAAATTATACTTCAGTACCTTAGCAAAGATTTCAAACAAATGTTGAATAACACAAATAAATGGTTTAAATAATCAACCTTAAAAAAAATCCATGTCTTTTGTGTCACTAAGCAGCACTCTACTGTTCATTCTAACTTAGAAGATTTAAATTGAAATACGTATTCTGTATGGTGCTGTATATGAATGTGTGCGTACGTATACGTCTTCCCGCTCCTTACCTGGGAGGCCAACTCTGGGTTTTGAGCCAGTGACTGCATCATGCTGCGCATGTAGGGAGCAGACAGCATGTTCTGCATCAGCTGAGGGTTTTCTGAGATCTGCTGCAGTAGACTCTGCATGCCCGGGCTGTTGAACATGCCTGCATCACAAAGGAAAGAATGAGTAAACAAATCATTACAGTAACTGAATAACATAGAAATGCAGAATGAATGGATGAATACGCTGCATTAGGAATCACAGCCTACTCTGTCTTACCATTTCCTAGACTTCCAGGATTGATGCCCAGAGGGTTGGACACACTGGGATTGGTTCCTCCAGTGGTGCTAGTGCTTCCTGTGCTGGCCCCTCCGCTTTCTGAGGGGTTAGAAGAGTTTGGTGGCCCCCATGGATTGGGCAGGGGCTCCCGGTTCTCTGTCCGTGACGGCTGGGCACCAGAGTCAGAGGTTCCACCTAGAGCTGAGAACGGGTTGCTACCAAACTACAGGGGAAAGAGTTTAGACACATTTGGAAACACAAACAGTCAAAATATAGGTATAGCTATGGAACAGTCGCAAATAAAGGCACAACAAATGCTACAGAATGAATTAACATAATCACAATACAGACTACAAAAGAGCTCACAAACAAAGATTTGATTGGTAAACATTCCTCATAGTTACCTGTTCCCTGGCAGCGCTGAACATAGGTTCTTGGATGTCTGTGTACATCCTCCGCAAGGCATTGTAACCTCCTGGGATGCTCTCCAAGTTGCTTAGAGCCCGATCCTGGTTTCGCATCATTTCCTGCATCATGGCTGGGTTCCTGGCTAGCTCCATGGTCTGGAAGGTGTGATAAAAACAGCAGAGGAGAGGTCACTAAAGGTATATTTTAAATACAACTTGTCAAAACCCTGAATAAACTGCTCAAAAATACTGTGATAACACACTGTAATCATGCCTTTACTAGCTAGACAGGTGCCATTCAGTCCCTGTCAGTTTCCTTTACCTGTCTCATGAGCTCAGGGTTGTTGAGCATGTGAGAGATCTCAGGGTTGCGTTCCATCAGCTGCTGCATCTGAGGATTAGCCATGATCATCTGTCTCATCAGGTCTGGGTTTGACATCATGTTCTGCACCAGCGGGTTCTCCATAATCTGAGAAAGCATCTCTGGGTTGGACATGAGCTGCCTCTGCATCTGCTGCTGCAGTTCCATGAAGTTAGCCGAGCCCATACCGAGGCCTGCCAGACCTGCCAGGTCACCAAAGCCAGCTGAGGGAGGATAAGTGGTTAAAGTGATGGTTAAATGGGTCGTATTTCTCAACCAGTAAAAGGTGTTTGAGTGTAAACAATTACACACAGGTGGACTCACTCAGTATGTTGGGCGTCTGTGTGGGTGGTGGGGCAGAGCCAGTAGAGCCTGTTGTGGAGGAGGGGTTGGTGGCTGGACTAGAAGTGGAGGTACTGCCTGCTTGAGTGGAGGCTGAGCTAGAGGCTGAGGTGCTACCGCCATCTCCTGCCCTACAGAGATGATTTGTGCACATGTGAGAAATTCAGTAACGCTGCCAGCTCAACGTGGGTCTGAACTCTGCGTTAAGGTGAACGTAAATGCAACAACAAATAAAACTCACTGATCTGCAAACCAAGATTACTGTGCAGATCTAATCAATCCTTCTTAAAGCTACAAAACGCTCTGCTGACCAAGCATTTAATAACATAGCCTTACTTGTGCGCTGTCTTTATGACTAGGTGAACTGTCAGGCCATCTTTGATGCCATGTTGGCTGAGGCTGTCGCCGTCCTTCAAGATCTTCCCTGCAAAAATCAGAACCAACTGGTCCTGTTTGGCTTTGAATCGCCTCGAGATCTCTTCTTTAAACTAAAAGAAAGCCAAAAAAAAAAGAGAAAATAAATGAGCAATGGCAAAGAAAATGGGGGAAAAAAAAAAAAAAAAGGAAGGGAAACATAGAAGAAGAAAAGCACATATCAAGAATGAGATGGTTACACTTCAGTAGCTCTAATCTGTTCTGTTTTGTTGCAGCCTTCAAGCCTTAAAGAACCCAATTCCAAGAAAGTATTCTTACTTATATCCTATTAGCAGTGGTTTCACACTCTAAATCTACCAAATTACTCCTCGACTATTTTGTTCCCTTTTCCCAAAGAAAATTACAATTAGTATTTCCTATATGTTTAAAAAAAAATCCCTTTTTAACATATTAATTTGATAACCGATTACAGATAAGACAGTGCACCAAGAATAATGCCCATCATGAAAACTTATTCCAGGTATTTACAGGTCACCTGGCTGGAGCTTGTTTACTGACGACTGAAGCTCGCCAACATAAAGCAGATCAGAAGTAGATTTGCTTTCAGCTGCTTTAACCAAAACTCATCTCATATAAACATTACCATTGTAACGAACTTGCTGCCTGGCACGGCCTTGAATTATTCCTTTAAATCGTCAACTTTGACAGTTTTGATTTCAGTTCCTCTATTTCTTACCTTAATGCTGTATCATTTGACTTAGTTTCTGATGTTTGGTGTGTTCTGCCTTTGTCGTTCCAATGATATAATTTGATTTCGAATAGTAGGTTACTATTTTTGTGTATAACACAGAAGACTGGACTTCATTTTGTGAAAGCCACTGAGAATCAAAATGAAGAACAAAGAACAGAGAATGCCGTTATCCGCCTTAGTTCTCAGCTGAAACGCCTTCACATCTCTGGATAGACAACGTTCACAGCAATACATGCTAAATATTTACTTCGCATATATCAAATATAAAGCCACGTGTGCTTAAGGATGACATAACACGTTTAAAAGTCCGAGATACGAGTCCGGTGTTTGAACATTAAACATGTGAATAGTGACTGATGGAACACACACACGACCATTCACGAACGGCTACTTAAGAAAACACAGGAGTAAAACGAGCCTCGGCACACGAAGCTAAACACACTGACTTTCATTCCAGGTACAGAGATTGCGTTGTGCTTTGAGTGTATCAGGTCGCCAAGCCAACAGTAGCTCTGAGAATACTACATATTCCCAAGAAAGCTGAATGACTCAGTGGCAGCAGTGAGAATGTTCTAGAGTGAAAGCAAGCTTTAGCTCTTTAAAAAAAAGCTCTTGGGCTAAGGTGGAAATTGAAAGCGACTCGGCATTTACATCAATCCTAATCCACTATCACGGTTCTATCGAGCCCTTCTTTCTTTTTGTAATAGACATAGCAGGAGCGTAGCCGTCAGCTGACACTTGTTTGGCTACATAGTTAGCTAACGTAAGCTCAAGCTGAGATAGCTAACTAGCTAACTGCTACCGTTAGCTGGCTAGCCGGTTAGCAATTTCAAATATTAGCGTGGTCTTATCGCTCCATCGAGTGTCACCAACGTTAATATCGACGAAGAAACGTTAACCTAAGCAGTAATACTCCCATTACACACAAGCCCTTTGATTTCACGCACTATCAGTTAGCCGGTAAGAGTGACGACAAATGCTAACAAAGCTAACTAGTTAGCTTCCTAGCTGAAGTTGTGGGCAGGGGCATGACGTTAGAACACGGCGAGGAGCCGCACCAGCCAGCTCCCCCCCTGCGAACCCAACCAACCTGAGTGACAGAGGCATCTTCTGCGATGGCGATTTCTTCTTTGTCTTTAGGGGTTTTCACTGTGACCTTAATAATAGTTCCCTCCGAGGCTTCAGGTTTATTATTGTTGTTATTACCAGGATCTGCGGCGCCTTGGTCAGCCATCTTTACTCCGCCGATGGAACAGCTCGGCTCTGGCGTCAGCTTCCGGGTCATAAGAGGTCAAACCCTGTTTCCAGAACGAAGCTCGGGAGGTCCAGAGTCTGCTGCTGCTGCTGCTCCCGTCTCATATAGAACAGCACCGAGTCTGTGCTCGTCTTATCTGCAGCACACACTGGAAATAGACGAAAGTTCTTAGCTGCCGGCTCAGACTTAGCTGCAAAGACAGACTTGTGTTAGGATTGATGAAGAAGCTGGTGTCTCTGAAGGTGGTTTTATTGTTGCAGGAGAAACAGCAGAAGGGTGAAGAGGGCAACTATTTACTATCACATGGAACTTGTAAATGAATTACCTACAAAAACATCAGTAGTTTTCTTTTTTTTTTTTTAGTACCACACGTTTTCTGCAATTTTAAATAGGAGAATGTGGTATTATATATCTAAAAAAAATAATACTATAATTTGCTTTTTTTTTCCAGAGCAGAAATTTGACAAAACTAGCTTTAAACTAGCTTTTGTTGACATATTGGAGTAAAAAAAAAAAAAAAAAAAAACCCAACAGCTTTTATTTTGTGATGTTTTAAGGAAGGAAATGTTTTACAAATAAATATTGTAAATAAATAGGGTTATAAATAAACCCTGAAGATCTTCGAAAAACAGAGAGGAATAAATCATTAAAGTTTTGTCAATGTAAAGGCTACTGAAGGGGAGAGTTTCTGGCTCAGAGTATGAAAAAAAAAGATAAAATAGACTTAGACTTAGATAAACTTTATTGATCCACAAGGGAAACTGTTTTATCATAGTAGCGCAAAATAAAATAAAAATTTATATAATAAGAAGTAAAAAAGCAAGCAGGAAAAAAGAATACAATGCAAAGATTTGCATGTTCAATTTACAATCTTACTGTTGTTTTTTTGTTTGTTTGTTTTGCCAAGTAAAGAAAGACAAAAAAAAATAATACATTGAAAATCTGGAAAAAAATAAATACTACTAGCTAGCTTTTAATTATATGTATCATGATTTGAATCGGCAGATGCAAATAGACAAAATATAATAACACAAACAGTAAAAACAGGGTTCTCAGTGCATCTTCAAGCAATATGCTGCTGAAACTGGTGCTTGCAAATGCTTTGCTCGAAGTTATCAAGTTGGACAGATGTTTACTGCTCTGCTTTTGTACCTTTGTCCTAATAACTTCTGAGAGAGGTTTGTTTTGATCTCTGATATGATGTTTGCCCTCTGACATCGAGGAATGACTTTTCATGTTTACTCTGGTTTATCATCTTTGGCAGATCTTTCCGATGATATCTTTTTATTTTTTAATTTTCTTGCACATTTTAATCTGTAGTTTTATAAAAAGGTCTATTTTTCTGTGTTTCTGTGTTAGAGGTGTGACTATGGCAACTCCCACCTTTGTATCCGTCACCCAATAGGTTAAAAATCCCTTTTCAACCAATTACCCAGCGACAAATGTCCACGTGGTTTAGCTTGACAGCGTCTGTTTGCTTCATGTCTTTGTTCACTTTGACCCCGATAGAGACACAACAGTGTTGAAACATGAGGCTGTTTGCACAATAAAAGGCTGTAAATGAATCAATGTGCTCCAGCTCCCTTGATTTGTAGCTAAATGTGCTTTGTTTGAAGTTTGGAAGAAAAGTAACCCAAAATTTCAAAACTAATAATAACTAGTAAATGAATTTTAAAAATGTCCTTTTCCTGTCGTGTCTCACCTTGAATGAAAACAGCAACTAATCTGACTGAACAGATGGCCTCTGGCAGCAAAGTTCTCCAACATTTGTTCACATTAAAGCTGAACAGGAATTCTCAGAAAACTAATGAGTAAAAGGTTCCTCAGTTGGAATCATTCAAGCTGTTTCACAAACATAAACTGCCAAATGTTTTGTTTTGATAGCTGCCTTTTCCTAAATCAGTATAATTTGATCATCTTTTGGTTGTGGAGACAGTAAGACAGCACTTTGGATATTATGATGCTTGTTTTTCTTTTAGATTTAATCTGCCAAATGAACAATTAAAAAAGCTTCAGAGAGAATAACTGATAATGAAAAATCATCTTTAGCTGCTCAAAAGTGAAAAGTCAAAGTGAAGTTTAGCGTCTTTACCATATGTTTATGTTGTTAAAAAAAAAAAGCTAATTAAACTAATTAAAATCTATTGTACACCCCAGTTAAGAACTTTACAAATTTAAAGTTTCAGCAACCCTGTTGTCATATTTAATTAGCCATCGCTGATGACTGTCATATATTTTAGTGCATATGATTTATCAAGTGCTACATTTTCTACTGTAAATTCCAGATATTACACCAGTTTGTCTTCTCACTGTACTGGGTAGTTAGGAATAGACTATTCTTCCCATCTCTCTCAGCTATCTACTGCTCCCTGCAACAACCATCATCATTCAGTTTGTCTGTTTTTTAACTCAAGTGACTCCCATCCTTTCCATCCACCGTACCAATCGGTTTCATTCGCCTGCCACTGCTACACTGAAACTTTCCTAAAACCTGCACATACACCAATAAACACAAAATTAATACCAGGCTTTTATTGAAGATTACATGTTGATAATCATATAGCAAAAAAAAGTTATGACAGAAAAAAACAGCACCATAAATGAATTTGATCTGCCACACCAAGCAAAAGCGTGAAAGAATCAATTTGTGTGATGAAAGTTTATCTCATAAATCACATATTTCACTTCAAATGTTACTTCCACACTCGTGCTCGTTGCTAAATGTGAGGAGACAAAGGTCATCGTCACATCACAACATCATCAGTGGCGCCGTGGGAAGCGTGACGTCACTCTTTGTCTGCGTCTATTAATTGCATGCTAATAGTGACTCTCACATTCGCTTGAAATGTCAGCCGTAATTACTAGTTTTAATCAGTAAACGAGCGTGGCGACTGCCGATAATGGCTTTTTGCGTCACTTGAATAGTTGGACCTTAAGTGTCTTTCTCATATGTGCTTCACTTCTCTAACCTTTAGACCACAACTGGCTGTATCTGCCTTTTTCTGTTCACACCGTGACTCAGACGACATCCTCCACCCGCACACACAAACTTACAAAGTGAAGCAACTCATACTCCAATCATTATATAGTATTTAAACTCTGGTAACTGCCTTGAATTTTTTTAAACACAAAATGCAGACACCATATGAGGGATATACAGCTGTCCTCAAATGTATTCCTTCCCTTCCATTAAAGAAAAGGCAAAAGTCACAATAGTCACTCAAATATCTAGAAACTGAAAAAAGTAATAATAAATAAAAATTTGCTAAATTATAATTTAGTGGAATAAGATGTTCCTTTTGAATTGTGGTTGAAAATAAAAATAAAAAAATAATTTAAAAAAACAGTTCCAGACAAATTACAGCACTTTGCAGATGAGCAGTGAAATCTAAATAGCTGTGATTGAGAATTACAGAAAACACTTGATTGCAGTGATTGGCTCAAAGGGTTGTTCAACAAAATATTAGTTTACGGGTCCCATCGTGCTTGTTTGCTTGTTTTTTTCGTTTGTTTTTTAATATATTTCTGTTGAACCACAATTCAAAAGCAACATCATGATTTTCATTAAATTTGTATTTTTTATTACTTTTGTCAATTTCAACTTATTTCAGTGACAGCAGGGGTAGGAATACATTTGAGGACGACTTTATCTTATGCAAGTGATGTGATTAATTAAAAAATCATTATGTGTGTTTAAGAGGGTGTATGTATTTGTCTTTCTGTATTTATGAAGACACATGTTAGTCAGGCAACAGCGCAGTGAGGACATTTCTGCAATGTGGGGAACTTTCGGTGGAAAACTTCAAAGAGCTTCTGGGTTAAGATTTCATTTGAAGGTTCAGTTTAGGATAATTAGGAATTTAGTTGTGATGGTTAAAGCTAGGGTACGGCACTCATGGATGCTTCATATCAAGAATTAAAGTTTTTTTTTTCTCATATTAGCGGCAAACAATGTTCAATTTCTAAATATTTACTCTATTAGATAGAACTCATGATAAAATACAGCACCTATTAGAGTCTAGTTAAGACAGTCATAGCAGACATAAAGAGCTGCTATAGAGCGTCCCTCTATATGTGTCCCTCCATGCTGCCACAGTGGGACGGCGCTGAAAGAAAAGTGTCTGTTTCAGCATGTTGCATTGACAAAGACAGTCCTGCATACCTATGCATATCCCCAGTTCTAGAGCAGCACGCCATTTACAAACAAACAAAAAAAAAAAAACCCTCAAAAAAAAGGAAACATGGACCAGCACCCCTTCTCTAAGGCCCCACACAGACATGCAGGGTCACATGCACCGCGGCCCCTGCAGGGTCTCATTCAAGAGCACCTCACACAGGGAGACACACAGGATTTTGCTTTCATCGACAAAAAAAAAAAAAAAAAAACCCGAGGGGGACAACCTTTGGGGTGAGTATTGTGCGTGACTCTCTCTCTCTCTCTCTCTTTCCCTCTAAGTGAGCCACAGCCCTCTCTCTCTTTTCCCCTCCGCCCGTTTCTGTCTTTACCTCTGGAAGGTGGGCAGTCGAGAAGGTGCATTTCCAGAAACGAGGTAAGGGATCACATTTCACTGTGGCTTTTTGAGTGTGTATTTTTTCTTTTTTACAGCGATGCATTTACATTTATGTGAGTGGATAGAAGCTGGTAGAATCAGATAAACCCTCATCACTGCTGCTGAAAAAGCACCGGTGTGACATGAGGATTTGGAAAGAGAGAACTTGGACAGCATCGTAAAGAATAGCTTTTACTCCGGGTTTGATAAACACTTCAACTCATTGTGATGTTTCCAGTATCAAAGAGGTAAATCTGCTTGATGGGAAAGATATCCATGTAGCTTGATTATTAAATGTAGAGTTTGTGAATTAATGAGGAAATCTGGATTTTACATGTTGGAGCAGCTCTAAATTATAGAGTATCATTTTTATATGTTCTCTCTGGTTTTATTCTCGCAGCTCTGTGACTGACTGGAGGTTCTAAGCTCCGTCCATGCTGTCATATTTAACTCACAAGTGTTCCAGTTCCTTTGT